TTCTACCCCTCTTTCAAGTGAATTTACGCTCCTGGTTTTACAAGGAAAAGTGAGAATGCAACAAGACCAGTCGCGTTGTGCTCTCTATACTTTTAATGCTAGCATATTGTTTGATTACTAATTCGAGTTAATATGATCTTTATGGCAACATAACAGTGGATAATTGGCCCTTTTTCTGAACAACAATGTAAATCACAATCGCTTTATTATTTAATAACGTCAAACGCTTCGTTGGATTGGCCCCGACAGAGAAGACCTTTTCTTTCGAGGCAGTGTTGTTGAGAAAGAACAATGCAGATCTAATTGTGGAGATTTCAGAAGTTGGCTCCTGTAAATGAACAGCTTAGATATGGAAGTTCCAGCAGATGTCTGCACTTTTCCCTGTGACAAACCTTGTAACCCCCCTTCCTCCCCCACTGCCCTGTCCTCCCCCCTCCTCGACTTATTGAAGATTTTTTGTTCTCACATCCTAGCAACAACCTAAATCTTCGAGTAGCAAATACACCCCTTTCCCCTCGTTGCTATACAGCATTTCACATGCCAGGCTTAACCGTACAGACCAAATTAGCGCCTGGCCCGAGCCACCCCTCGCTCTCTCTTCGTCCCGCCCCGCCTTCCCCCCCGCCACTGCTGCGGGCTGGGGCGGGGGAGTCGGGCCGGCGGTGGGGCCCCGGGGAGGGGTTTGGTCTCCCGACTTTCAGCTCTGTAAAGGTGCCGGTGGTTTGTGCTGCAACAGTTTGGAGGCGTCTCCAAGTTGCGGACGCTGGTCTGTGGCAGGAAACATGCCGGGGCCTACCGGCGCCGGCGGGGGACGGCGAGAAGGGCCCCATTCGGAAACCCCCATATGTCACCCACTGTCCCGAAAGGGTGCACGCAGGGGGTGTCCGACTTCCCGTGTCAGGCTCAGCTGACCCAAACCCGCACGGCTCCAGCGTGGCATGAACAACGAACCTGTCCTGGGGCTGGGGACACGGATGCGGGGACAGGGACTCACTCCCTCGGGATGGCTCCGAGGGAGAATGTGTGCAACTTCTGGTTTCGGGGGGTACGCGCATATCAACACACATCCATTCTCCCTGCCGGGGGCTGGGCTCTGCTCTGCGGAGCCACCCGCGCTTCGAGCTCTTCGCGGGGTTTTCTCTTGCGCTAGAGGCCCTGATCAGCCCGTCGGGGCCGCGAATCCCGCTCCCCTCATGCGCCGCCAGCCCCTCCGAGGGTAATTCCGCTGAAAGGAGGCCCTTCGGCTGAGGGGCCGGCAGCGGTAAAGCAGCGGCTCGCCCCCAGCCCCGATAATGCTGGCTTTGAGGGCTGCGCCGGCGGGGGGACGGGGGGGGGGGACGGGGGGAACAGCGGGCTGTGTGTACCAGCTCTCTGCGCAGCCGGGTGTCAAGGACCAGGGGTGTCAAGAGATGAGGCAGAGAGTCCAAATTCTGCTTTTCTTTTTTTCTTTTCTTTTCTTTTTTTTTTTTTTTTGTCACAAACTAACGAAATCCTTTCCCTCGCCAACTGCGGAAGAGCCTCTTTTTTCCTCCTCTCGGGATCTCCCCCGGCTGCCAAGGGCAGGAGCCACCCAGTCGCAGCACTGCGCTTCCTGGTGCTGGGCCTCTGGGCTCCCCTGCAGGGTACAGCCGGCCCTCGGCCGGGAGCACCGGCCTCACACCTGTGGCGGGGTGGGATTTCTGTTCATTTGCAAGAACCCACTCGAGGAAACGATTGAAAACACAGACCTGCTCACTGAATTCCGGGTTCAGTACCTCCGGGCTGCCTGCCCTGCCTGCAGCTGCGGGAAGCAGTTGACCTTTGAGTCTTTTTCTTATTGAGTGGGTGGAAAAATCTTGGAGTTTTGGAGTTTTCCTTTTCCCTCCTTTTTTTTTCTTTTTTTTTTTTGGTCCTACCATTCCATGCTTGTTTGTTTGTTTGTTTTGCAACTTTACTTTTCCCCGCTGACATCGCCTGGAGGGGGGAGCACTGCACCCGCCGAATGCTCCCCGGGGACGCGTGAGGTTCCCGGGACTGTACCATCCGGCAGCCGCGGTGTACCAAGGGTTAACCGCGCCCGCTCCCCGGCTCTGCGCAACCATGGATGAAACTGCCACGACTTGTCCCAAAAAAACATCACAGGGACAGGGATCATCCTGAGCGCCGGGACAGAGCAGGCCAGGCCAGGCCAAGTCGGGCCGGGCCGGGGAGGCCTGGGCAGCTGCCACTCCCCCCCTAATGAGCTCATTTCCATGTCTGCGCCTCCCGCAACTGTGAGAAAATCCGCTGGGAGATGCAGCGTGCCGATGCGGCCTGGGCTGCCCCGGTCACCCCGGCGACAGAGCCGCACTGGCTGCGGGGGAAGCTACATAAATAAAACGACATAACCCACAACTTCTCCTGGCCGCAGCATCTCGGGGGTTTCCACCGGTGGAGGGGGGTACCCCACTCCCATACGTGTATTTCGTGGGGCCAAGCTCCCTCAACACCCGCTGGAGCTGTGCTTGGGGGGTGGGTGAGGCAAAAGTGCCCGGGGACAGCCCGGGAGGGGGGAAGGGAGAACTGAAACAGCCCCACACTTATCAATAATAAGATGTATAAATATCAAAGTGAAGGAGCCCGAGTAAGTCTTTCTAGAAGCGAGGAGGAAGCTTAAGCAGCTTTCTTTAATGGTGATTTGTAGCTCTGTAAGGGGCACGGATAGCAAATACCCTGCAGGTGCATGTTGTAACACTGCCATCCGGACTTTAATGTAGATTACTCTCCAACTCGTTTGATCGGTCCTTTGAAACCCTTTACAATTGCCTGTGACGAACCGCCAGTCTCAGGGTGCTGGCTTTTTTTTTTTTTTTTTTTTTCTTTGAATAATGCCTTAAGGGTAAGTCCTCGGGGCTTTTCAAGATTTCCAGCACATTTAAAAAAAAAAAAAAAAACACATTAGATTTTTACTTTAGAGCATGGGTCCGTGTCTCTCAAGTTGGGGCTGTTAACAGGCATCTTTTAAATCATTAATCATCTAATAGCCACCAACTTTACTTTGGAAGGAAGACACGGGGAGCTTCTAAAGACTTCCAAACATTTCTATTGCTTTTGGGATTATACTGGTTGAAATATAGGTGTCGACATTCTTACCCCCTCCCCGCTCCCCCCTCCTTCCTGCTGAAGCCCTGGAGCTGTCAGGTCTCCGGTGTTTATGGACTCTGCTGTATGGATCTGTGCCGAAGGCCTTTTCTCTGGCCACTGAGAAGCCCACGGTGTGGGCTTAGGAAGCAAACCCGAAGTGTAATGCAGAGGAGAAGCTTGGTCGGAGGGTGGAACGGTCGGTGGGGGAGCGGGCAGGGGCTGGTGCGACCCTTCCGCACCCCAACCCTGCTCTGGGACACCCTCCGCATTCCAGCTCTGCCCTGGGTGTGTGGGTGCTTTCGAGCAAACAATGAGCTTGAAGGGGGAGATGGGGACACAAGACGAGAGAACTCAACAAATTCTGCAGATGTTTTGTCTCCACTCTCTCTGCAAATAACATTTAACCTTTAATATTTATTCGATACTATTAATTAAAAAAATATTACTGAACTTTTCGCCCTTCAACTTCTACAAGTGGCGCTTTGTTTCTCTAAAATAAACTTGGGGAGAAGCGATCTATCCATATCAAAATAGGGATTTGAATTAAAGGCCCATTTGGGACACTTGAGACTACAAAGGGTTACACATAAATAAATGCCACATTTGCCTATTGCAAAAGTTTTCTCTGTCCTTTCTCAGTCACAACAGGGGAGGAAAAAGCCGTCGTTTATTATCTAGCGCTGGGCAGGACCAGCCCCTCCAGAATGTGCTCTTAGATTTGGCCGGCAGAAGAGGGACTCTTCTCCCCCCTCAACAGCAGCTCCTTTTGTTCTCCAGATCTCTTTCCCAATTTCAAGCTTCACTTGCAAATCCTAAGTTTGTTTGTTAATGACGCTATTACCATCTGGCTCGTCCTACTTTCCAAAAGATATAAATCTCCCCAGTTTCATTGCCTACATTATCATTTAAGTGCCACGATAGCTGGAAGAAAAATATGCTTTCAAGGCTGCAAATTCTCTTGCACGGAGCGAGCTCCCGGGAGCGGAGCCGCTTGGCAGAGCTGCACCAAATGGATTTCACCTTGCAGCGATGCTGGGAGAGGGGGAATAGAGCGATTTAAGTTTTCCACCAGAAACTTAAGTGAACCTTTCTACTCCCCCCCAACCCCCTCCCCTTTTGTAACTGTTTAATGCATCTGGCTACTTTGAACCGTTATGTTCGGCGGAGAGAGGGCAGGATGGGTCCTGCCCCCGGCCAGCTCCTCTTTTCCCCTCCTAAGCGTGACCTCCTCTCCGCCTCTTTGCCATAACTACATATTCCATACATGTGAAGAGACCATTCCTACAGGCGTCGTACAGTAAAGTGAAGAAAAGTTTAGGCTCCTCTCAGTGCATAGCGGTTGCATATTTGTGTGCGTTTAAGCATAAAGAGACGGGGGGAGGGCGATAAGGGATGGGGGAGGGAGCTGGGTCGGTTTGTGTATGGGCTCCACAATGACTCTATTTATTCCCTGCAACCAGCCTGGGCAGCTTGAATAGGCGAGAGAGAGACACTCAGCCTTCTCAACGCGTGGGCTTTGTGGGATCTAGTCCCCACTAGCACTCTTCGACTGCTAATTTCCCGTTCTGCGGGACTGTCCTGCGAGGAGACATAGTCGGGCTCGTCCGCTCCTCTCCCCGAAACACCGCCTGGGTTTCAAGTACCGAACCTCTCTGAGGAGAAGTTTAGCCGGGGGTGTAGTTTAAAGCTTCATCGGTGCTTCGCTATCTTTGCACTTTTCCGCCGGGGGGGGGCTGGGGGGGGGAGAAAAAATGGAAAGAAAAAAAGAAAGAAAAAAAAGAAGAGGGAGAAAAAAAAAAGGGCCCTGTGTGTATGTGCACGCACACACACGTACAGATAATATTGTCAAGTGAGGGAAAAGCTGCTCCATTAATATGGGAAAGAAAACCAGGTTGGGGTTTGGGTTTTTTTAATGCTTTTTTTTTTTTTTTTTCCGATGGATCCAATTGTTATAAATAATTACGGATGAAAAGAAAACTCACTTATTATGCACTTCTTATACTGTGACTGCATAGGAGAGAAAGGGGCCAAGCCAGTGATTAATTAATATCGCCCTGGCATAGCTGCTCTCTTGCGAAAGGCCTTTTACCCCGTCGCCGCTGTTATCATCCAGCTCGAGTCATGTGTAGTCGGGACGGGATCTTGTTTATAAATTTATATGACGACCTTTTCTTTGTGTGTTCTCTAAAGTTGATATGGACAAATTGCAGAGGTATACAATTTAAGTAGATGCACTTTTAATCACCGATCATTAAAATGGTTATGTTAAATATACTCAATTACATGCATGACTTCACCCTAACAGTACTTTCTATTCTCCCAGCTGCTCACGTATTCCTTAACTATAGTCAGCAGAAGAAACTCGATTATGCTGAATCCATACATTTCTATGGATTTCATCAGCCTAATTAATGCTTCAGTGTGGTCCATGTGTCTGAATGGTCCCTTTGCTATTACTTGGGTAAAGAGGCAGTGCTGGAATGCAGAGGGTCTTTCTTTCAAAGATACCCATGGGGGTCACTCTAGGACTCTAAAGGCAAAGGTAGCAAGTGTTAAATAGCAGAAACATGCAGAGAAAGGGAAGGCAGCGATGTAAAAGGGACATTGATACTGTAGGTATGCCCAACAGGTCAGTGATGATAATTAAAACGCTTCAAGAAGAAAAGGTAAATGGAAAGCTTCCACAATTCGCAGCATGCCTGGTTAAAAGCAAACAAATCAGCCCACCAGCACCTTGCTGGTCCTGCGGAAAAACAAAAGGGGGGGGGGGCGGGGTTGGAAGGGGAAGAAATAAAAGAAAAAGAGAGAAGTTGACAGCAGATTTTTAGCCTGAATAACTACCAGGGCAGCCTCCTCTGCGAGCACTGCGTTTGGGTGCCCCATCTCTTCTCTAATTTTCTCGTTGCAGAAATGAAGGCTGTGAGGGGATAAGGGGAGGAGGAAGGTGCGCGGCCGGGCAGGGCGCGCCCCCGCTGCCGCCTCCTGCGCGCTCCCTGTCTCCGCGCCGCCGGGGGCTCCCGCACGCCGGGGCACTGCTTGTGCCCACGGAGGTGGGATAAGTAGCTCTGCCCTCGTCTCCCCAGCTTTCTTCCGAAATGAAGGAGCGATTAAAATAAATGGAATGCGTCGCAGCTTGAACGCAGCCAGCCAATAGCTGCTTACATCACTCATCTTGCCGTCTTGGCGTTTAGTGCATCTAAAAGGCAAAAGAGCTTCCTGGTACTTAAGCAACATTTCAATCAATCAATGAGATATACATCGAGATGTATTTATTTTTCTGTTCCCACCTGTTGTAGTCGAAGACCATCTGATCACATCTTTCTCTGGCTGCTAGGAGAGGTGAGGGGAAAGCAGATATCTTGTCACCCACCGCACTGCTAAAAAGATGGTGATGAAGCCCGCATCCCTTACCTGTTCTTCCACCGTGCACTCTGCGAGTGACTTTGTCCTGACTTCGAGTCAATGATCTGCTACAGCCTTCATCCTTCAAGTGGAGAGAGAAAGCAGGAAAGATTTCAGATCTATAACCAAATTATAACCTAGGAACTTTATGCTTGTCATGCTAATTTAATGACTTTCATAGTAAGTGTAGACTTTCTGTCTTTTGAAATTAGCTCTTCAAAATGCTTTGTGTAATGACAGACACAAGACACTAAGAGACAAATGCACAAGCAATAGTGGGATAATAATCTGGCAAACACTGCTCCGTTTAATTTTAAAATGGAGAACAAAGTGCACTAAATCTCAGCGGAAATGTACTTTGTTGCCCTGTGCCGTGGGCCTGGGCTCTGAGTGTCCCAAAAGGAGAGTGTCCTCCAACAGCTGCCATGCCTGGGTTTATCCGGGAAATGAGCAAATACCAGATGTGGACTGCAAAATAGTACATCCCACAGTGCAGTGCCCCTTTGCTTTCTGGTGGTGCTCACACGTGTCTGAGCGCTGTAAATATCCTAATTTCAACAACCCAGTTCTGCTGGGCCTGGCTTCTTGCTTGGGTCCCAGTGGGGCAATATACATTCTGCTCTTGGATATATGGCTCTGAACGTACGCATCCCCTACATCCTTAAGAACATTTCTGTGCTCCCATGTTACTGTTAAGTGGTCCAGAAATCTGTCCAAGAGATGGTATTGATAACAAATGGAGGGGTAAACCCAAAACTATAGGTGTATTGCAATCTGGGCAACTCATTGCTTACAATTGTAAATAAGGTAAGTTCACACGATGATCAAATAACAGGGAACAAGAGGCCTATTTTAATCAGGTGGTTATCTCTCCTTGGTGGAGATCAGAGCTCCATTGCTCCTGGCCTTCTCATTGTGTCCCCCCTGCTGGAAATGACAGCTCCTTCAGAAATAACTAACTTGGTCCTTGGATGGGATTTCAGCTCTTTTACACTACACATGTACCAATTGTCATTTTACAGCTACAGCAATACCTCTGAATTATATAAGTGTATAAATTCAGCCTCATTAAACCCCCCTTTTTGGATAGCCTCAAGAATAGAGAGTATATTATTGTAAGCCAGGGAATACTTAAATTATACCTAAATGGAGATGGAAATGTAGTGGTACTTAAGCACACTCCTTGTCTCAGCTGCAGATGCTTTGTTTCCCCCCCCTTTAGAATGTTATGATATTACAAACGCAACAGTTCCCTTATGTCAAAACAAACTATCTGAAATCCTATTTCTTGGTTCAGTCTACGGGGGGACCCTTTGTGGTGGGGACAGAACCACAAAGATATGATCAAACACTACAGCCTAACCAAAGAGAAAATTATCGTTCATCTGAGAGAGTTTCCCAATTGGATATTAAAGCCCTCCCCTTCCAGAAAGTATCTCAACATGCTGTGTACGTTTTCTTGTGCTTGTGCCTGTGTGTGCAGATAAGTCTGGGTGTGCAGAGGAACAGGAAGCCGAGAGCAGCGATTACTCTGCAGCTTAGAGCACTCCCTGTCCACGGGTTGATTTTTCCACCAAAGCCGATCTAAAAATAAACGTTTCAGTGGGAAATCTGTGCTCAGGCCGGCTGCTGCTGCCACTTGCGGCTCCGACCGCTGCCGGGATCACCCCGCGAAGCCCCCCAAAGCTGGGTTTGCTGGGAGGGATGGGGGTGTCTCCTTCCCCTATTTTCCAGCCCTCACAAGAGGGTCAGTGGTTTAACCAGGCGTCACCAGGACTTCATTTTATTCCCGGCTCACTGAAGCGTGTGGCTTTTAGTGACTGATTGCCGCGGTGGTGGTGCGTGGCACCGGGACTCTCACTGTGCGGACTCCAGATGGGCACGTCCCGCCGCTTCGGGGCGGGGGGGCACGGTCGCTTTGCAAAGGCCACCGAGACACTGAGATTTGTTCTGGGTCAACCCTCCCCAAACGCCAAAGTTGGGAAACAACTTTCGCAGCGTGTGTCGGGGTGGGAAGGAGGGAGGGAAGGAGCTGTGGGACCGCAGCGGGTGCAGCGGTGAGGGGCGCCGTGGCTGGGGCTGCCGGCCGGGTTTCCCCGCCTCCTCTTTCCCCCACCCCTCCCCAGCGCATCCCCCCCCTTCCCTCTGTTCAGCTCTTCCTCTCCGAGTCCCGGGCGCGCAGACACCACGTTTCCAAACTTTGAAATGCCAAATCACGTTATTGCTGTGGCAGGAGGCTGCTTTCGGATCTGTGACAGCTGAGTTTTCCCTATCGATTATGTGACATTGCAGTTCATTTATACAGCTCAAAGGCTTAAAGACACTGGAGGAGCCCCCGGTTTAACCCGAAATCCTAACAGAAAGTGAATCAACTTTCTGGCGAGTGTTTAAACTGATAGATCAGAACTTAATTCGGAGAGACAGAAAGGGAGAGAAACGACAGCACGGATTTATCTTGGCCAGCGTCCTTCGCTGAAACTTTAGAAACTGCGGCGCGGAAAATCTAGGGCCGAAATGCTAATTAGAAGCAGGGCGCCTAGTGCCTGGATATGTTCTGTGGTTTAGGGAGCAGGTGGCAGAGCTTGGAGTGTTGTGCAGGTGCATGAAATTCGTGCAAAGGGTCGCTGCTGTGAGCCGGTGGCCGGGCTCGGGGCGTCTCTGCCCGCCGGGGCCGGGCGGCAGCTCACGGCGCGGGACCGGCGCCTTTTGGGAGGGATTGGCGTAAGAGAGGGAAGATTTTCCTCGCAGACATGGGGACAGGACTGGTTCCCTTAAGCTGCCGGGTCTTTCCTTTGGCTTTTTTTAACCGTTTTTTTTTTCAGGGCCCAGCTCAGCTCCCGGTCCCTGCTGCTCCCTCCCCCGTCCTCGCCGAGGTTTCATTACTTGCTGTTAGTGCCTGGAAACAATAAAGGATGTAGGACTGGGCTTTTATTGATTATTTGTCACCCTGTATTTGTCAGTTTCAATAACTTTTCCTGGAGTTTTACTTACGGGCACTTGAGCTTTCGGATTAGGCCAGCTCTGCGGATTGCAGTGAGGGGTAATTATCCATTGGCCTGCTTCCCTGCAGCCGGAGAGAAAAGAGCATTAATTTACAGAATGAGCAGGATGCGGCCCTAGTCCCCACCTCCCCGCTAAGCGCTGCCCCGGCGCAGCCGGGAACTCTTCTCGGCCCCGCCAGACGCCTCTGGTTCCACTCGCCCTGCGCAGGGGTAACGGCCCTCGGCAGCACTCTGCCTCTCAAGCGGACTGGGGGGGGGGGCTCTCCCAAGCTTCCGAAACTCCCCCTCCCCTTTTGGGTACGAGACATCACTACTGGAGCGAAGCTCCCGGGGACGGACACACACACACACACACACCAGGGACCCACGACACTGGAGCACGAATCGGGGCTTTCGGCTGCGGCCAAATCCCCGGGATTCAATTAAAAAGCTGGCTCGCGCTGCTGGCGGGGAGGCGAAGCCGGGGGATTTGTATTATGAAGATCGACTCTTCAAAACTGCCCGCCTGGCAGCCCTGCCGCGCTCCCGCCGGCGGAGGGGACTCGGCAGCCCAGGGAGTCTCGGCCGGAGCCCCGGCAGGGGGGAGAGGAGCAGCGGTGGGAGCTGCGGGGACCGGGGGCGAGGGAGTGGCCCCCTCATCTCTCCCTGCCTTTGCAGAGAGGGAAGGTTAAAGCTTCCTCGAGAGAAAATACCTTCTGTCTGGCTATCTTCCTTCTCTCATAACTTTCATACATCTCCCAAGAGATGCGCACTGCCTCAGCTATACTCATTTGTAAGCACACTAAAGACAAGCTAGCGTAATCGTTCCCTGGGCTGGCAGGGTGCCTATCTTGTACAGTGTAGCGTTTGATGTACTGTATTTCATACCACTGCAAGCTAAGAGACAAGCGAACACAGAGTGCCCAGTTACACAGGATTTAATTACAGCGGAATGCATTCTCCATGCTGATTAGGAGAAAAATCAATCGGGGGCTTATTTGCCACAATGAACTAATAAAAAAAAAAAAACAATTTGTTAAAGCAATAATCTCATCCCAAAACGGTCTAAATATTATTGTTTCAGTTGCATTGAAAGGGAATTCAGACTGAAAGTGTTGCACAGAGAGCATTAGGGAGTCCTTCTCTATAAGTTAGAGTTTCCAACCTCTTTCCAAGGGCTCACTTGCCGATCTAGAGTCTTTGAAATGGGGATCCGAGTTTCCCTATTCAGGTCTAGGTGTGTGGGTTGCTGTAGTATCTACAAGGCAGGGTGCTCTGTGGTCTGCAGCTGTCTATGCTGAGGCAAACATAGCACACAAGCTTCCCACTGGGTCTTAAAAGATTTCCTGCTTTCCAGTGATTTACATGTGAAATTCCTAGAAGAGGGAAGGCCACACAAAAGATCCCCAAGCCATAGGCTGAGATAAATGACTTGTTGTAATATCATTAGAAAAACACCATGCGATGTGCTAAAATTTCTCTGGTAGGGATGAAGGAGAAGGCATTCCCTTGGGAGGGTGCTGAGCACCAGGACCGGGCTGGGCTGTGTGGGGAGGAGGAGGGGACCACAGTGCCCTTGCTTCCTTTCTCCTGTGTGAAATTGCTCCCTTCTTCTCATTACAGAATTGCAGTTGGCTGGGTGCTCCCCTGGGGAGTCAGTGGGAGGCTGGAGGGTGTGCAGGCAATGCAGCGCTGGTGGGCCACGTTCACAGAGGGAACTGTGGGATCCCCATGAGCTTAAAGTCTGTGACTCAGGAGATGCTGATTTTGCTTTACAGCTTTCTGTAACTCCAGTCATCTCTGTCCCAAACCGGAGAGGACCTCATTTCCTGCTCAGTGCTCTGCCAACCACAAGGTCTTTTCATAAGGCTGCCAGGGGTGCCTGGCTGCTGGGAGGACAGTCAGTGTTTGTCACCAGGGAATGAGCTGGCATGATAGCTCTAATCTGAGTCAACAAGCTGGCGATCCCTGAACATGACTTCATAAATCATGCTACCTAATTGAAAGGCACATGCTTATATATAGAGTTGTTGTCCAAAAAGGATGCAAAAAAAAAAAAAACAAACCCAAAATAAAATGCAGCAAACACTTATTTTCTTCCCACTAGCCTATTAATCAGTCACCTGATTGTTTCAATTGACTTTATTTCATGCAGAAAAAAAAAGGGAAAACATAAAACCATCCTGTACAGCCATAATAAAAAACACAAATGAAAACATTTGTCACATAATGAGAGGCTTACCCTTTTTCTAACACCCCTAATAACAGAAAAACATTATTTAAGTGTTTTAAAATTGTTTCTATGTTTAATTCAAAGTTGCTGGGTAATATTTTCATCTGTCTATGTATCTATTTAGTATTGAAGCATATGATATTTCAAAGAAATGGAACCAATTTTGAATGAAGAAAGTCCTTCATCATTCCTGGATTCACTTTTTTTAAATGCTGGTTAATATACAGTCCTGCCTTTTCCTCATCCTTCCAGAAGAAATGAAAAATAGATCTGGCACAAAGGGTTGGTTATGTGCTTTTTGTTTTTTACACCCCATTCTCCTACTTTATTTTTTCACCTGCAGGATCTGTAGGATCTCCCCCTGTGAGATGCAACTCAGCAGCTCTGTCCCCTCTGCCCTCTCAGCGCTGCCAGTGGAGAAGCCCAGGAGGAGCACAGAGCAGTGGCTGAGCAGCAATTTGAATATTCATATTTAACTCTTCAAACAACAGAAGATACTTCAAAACCATGCGTGAGACAAAATGCCATTAAACTTTCAATTACTAAACCTCTGTTTAGCTGTACTTCAGAAATGAGCAGTTCATAACAAACAGGGAATTCTGATTGACAGTTTGCCATCAGGAGCCCTTGAGTAGGATTTTTCCAGCTATAATGCGGTGTACTCTTCAGTGCTCCCTTTTGCAAGATGCTATTTCAAGTATAGGAGCATGACAAAAATTTACATAAAAGCTTTGTCTATAATGTGATTGCTTTGAAATTAAGAACCATGAGTTTTCCCCTTATTGTTTTAGAAATCAAGAGTGCACTTCATTTTCTTGTTTACTTAGTGCGGTCTCTGATCCCTTGATGCATTTCAAGTGTTTTCTGTCAGCATCACGAGACCTTGCTTACCTGGTAAATTTTATGTGTGAAATGATTAGTGTTCAAAGTGCCTGAAAAAAACACCAGTAACAATGCCTGACAAATTTTCTTTTTTTAATTTTCCTCTTAAATAATACTTCATGGTACATTAAGCGGGTTATACAGTCTCTTCTTAAGAAACCAAAGCAACGTACTGCCACATACGTAATGTTTCATCAAGCAGCTAGTTTTTAAAAGGAAAAAAAAGAAGGCAGCATGGAATCCTCCCTAAGGCTTTTCTCAGTTTGTCCCAGATTTGGTAAGGAATGATAATAATTTGGAGTCAGGTACAGAAAGGAAAATAAATATTATTTTATGATAAATCTCTCAGTGTGTCATTTTCAATCACAGGCAGATCTTAGAAATGCTGCTTGTTAAATCCACTGAACATTACTTTTCAGAAGTAGAAATGTTTTTAGTTAAACAGCTTTCTTGATGTTCACTTTGGATGTACTAGTCAGAGCCACAGCAGCCCAAGGAGAGAAGCAAACAATTAAAACGTTTATGTATTTGATTCTTGATAGACATCCCTACAAGGTAGGTTTTAACTTTTTTTTCTTTTTTCTTTTTTTTTTTTTTTTTTTTTCCAGTAAGAAGGATAAGCTTGGAGTGCCCAGTCACCGTGGTAACTGCCAGAAAAATTCTCCTGAAGTTTGAAGAGGTCAGCTAACGGGGTCAACAACTCTGGCCTCTCTCTGAGCTGGGCCTGGCAGGCTCCATCCTGTGGCTGGGGTGTTAGAGCAGGCTGAGCCCTGGGAGGTGGACCATTCCAGCTCTGATATAAATTTTTTGAGTCAGTTCACGGCCTGGACTCTCCAGGTGGCCTCCAAAATCGATTGTGACCTTGTGACCCTGTCTAGCGGAGGCATAGCATCCAACCTAAGTAAGGATTTAGCCAGGAACGACAGCTTTCCACTGAGTGTTATTGGGGACAGTACAAACAGTTTTGGAAGCCAGGAGGTAGGTATGAGGAGTAGAGGTCATTAAAAACATATTAAAAAACAATTTAAAAAATCCTTGTCAATGGAAATTTTTTATTAGCAGTAGCAGTTCCTTAAATAAACTCTTCTGGCAACTATTTTTTTCTTCCCTAACAATATTGTATCAAGTATTTCAATGCACTAATATATGAAAAATAATCACTTTACATATTCCAAACCAAACTAATATCTTATATACTACTGGATTTTGAACTTGTAAATGAAGCTGATGGACATGTGTTAAACTAGGTCTCTTTGAAGCAGTCTTTTCCACTTAATGTCATAAAACCCAGGAGGCAGCTTATTAAATCAGGTTGTTTATTTTAGGAAATAACTTTTCTAATATGTGCATTATTTTGAGATTCAAAAGGCTCTTAATCTGTGTAATTTTATTTTTAAACTAGGAAATCAAGTAACATTCAGAAAAACATGGCATCAAAGTGTGAGAGTTTCACAGGCCTGTTCCTTTCCTGATTTCTAATACAAATAAGTCACAGATTTGGCTATGTATTTTTGTAGAAAAATCCTGTAGTCATACTGAGATCATATTTATAGAGAATATTATGTTTTTTCCTATAAAATTTTAAGCCACACACTCTGCGGGGGAGGAAGAGGTTTCGGCAGAGGTCTGATTTTATTATCAAATCTAGAAATTTGCCCTTCTACAAAACCTCAGCTCCACATGCATTGCTCCCATGAGTAATCGGTACTCATCAGATGAGTAAGGGGAACTACACAGAGGAGTGAAGTCCAGTCTCTCAGGTGGAAAATGCTCTCTGGCTTTAAGTGACTTTAAAACTGCACTGAAGGAAGAAAATTGCGTTAACATTTGCTCCCAGTCTTAGAGAAATTATGCAAACGTATCCCAGTGGGAATATTGCCCAAATACTTTTTATGTGCCTCGCAGGAGAGGGTCCGGCTCTAATGTACTTCCTCCCAGTCACTTACCTGTTGAGCAGTTCCCCTGAGGTTGGAGGGTCTGCACAGAGATGGGGATATTAAACGTGGTTCAGGATGAGAGCCTGAGCTGCCCTACATGCTAAATATCGTTGTACTGCTGAGAAGTCCCGTAGCTTACAACATCAAGAGTCTCTAGCTTTTACTTGCAGTAACACCTTGCTCTGAAGAAACTCTTTCCAAATCCCTGGATGTCTGTTAGTCAAGGTTTTACCTCTGACAGGATTGGCATAATCTATCTGCTCCACTGGGATTATTTGATGATCAGGAGCTTGATTTCTAAGAATAAGAAGTGGGGGCAAACTGCCCTAAAATAATTTAAAGCCTAGACTTGCACACGCAGATATTAATGGTAACACTCTATATAATTTCACCCTGAATACTATTTGTAGCTTGTTGTTGACATTTTTATTTTTTTTTTTTTTTTAACAGAACTGTGCTGAAAACAATTCATTCACATTAGCAAGCCTGTTGATTCAGGGGAGTGCCATGGGTGACTAAACTTGGCAAGATGTACCGTACAGCTCTTTGGTGAGGACCAGCACATTTGCTTGGCTTTCAATAAAAAAAACAACAAAACCCAAACAACATTTAAAATTAGCAATGGTGAGCAGCTGGAAGGTGCTGCAAGTCCAGGCTCTTGAGGTCCCCTGGTTGCTCCCTTTGCCAATGATTCCTGATTCCAAGCCTGAAACTTTGGAGCAATTTTTGTCCAAATGTTCCAGTGGAATAGTTGCATCATCTGTTTTCGTAGTGATTCCTTTTGTCAGGTAGAACTGGTGCACTGTATGCCCACATTACAAAGAGATACGAATATA